CGCGGGGGTCGCGCCAGCCCGGGGGCGGGCCCTTGCACTGGGCCTGGTTGAACGTCATGAGGTTCGCACAGGCCCACCTCTCAAGCCTATCAAGGTCCTCTGGATGGCATCCCTTCCCTCCAGTGTGTTGACCGCACCACACAGCTTGGTGCCGTAGGCAAACTTGCTGAGGGTGAGCTCAATCCCACTGTCCATGTCACCGACAAGGATGTTAAACAGCGCCGGTCCCCATACCGACTCCTGAGGAACACAACTCGTCACTGGTCTCCACTTGGACATTGAGCCATTGACTGCAACTCTTTGAGTGCGACCATCCAGCCAATTCCTTCCCCACCGAGTGGTCGATCCATCAATCCATGTCTCTCCAGTTTAGTGACAAGTGTGTCGTGCGGGACAGTGTCAAATGCTTTGCACAAGTCCAGGCAGCAGCCTGCTGGCAGGCTGTCAGCAGGAAGAAAGTGAAGGAGTCTGCATTGCCCCATACAGCCTGGGTGTGCGGATGAACTGGGGGATGCTGCCTTGCCTGTAGCAGCATGCCACCAGCTGCGGTGAGGCCTGACTCTCACCCCAAGCCATCAGCCCTGCAAAAATTTCGTCCACTAAATTTTTTCCCTATAATTTCTTTATCCTTTCATTCATTATGCTGATAACTTCTGAGATGAGTCAAAAAAAGCAAGTAGCTGCTGTAGAGCAGCTCTTTGAACAGATCAGGAGAGTGCTGCATTTTAAAAACCAGGCTGCTTAGTTTTTTCTATAATTTTTTATGGCCAAAAACAACTGAAAAGAATGGGGGCAGTAGCAAATTGATAGTAAAAATTGCCAGTTAATTTACGGTCAATGACACCTGCATTTGGAGATTGTAAGTAAACAGCATGTATATCAGCAGACCATTTAATTCTGTTCTCCAAACTGATGTGCTACTTTTGTTGAATGTCTGTAATTCCAAGGGCCACTCTACTTCTGAGGGATGAGAAAAGGCAGGTAGAGTCAAAAGACACAAAACCAGTCAGAATGGGTCATATTAAAGGAGAAGGCACATGGCATTCACGTCACCAACACCCTCCCTCTCACTGCTCTTCTACCCTTTTCATGTGGTGAGATGGGGACACAAAACTCATGCTGGCAGAACCTTTTTTGGATATGAGCTCATAGAGTCTACAGAGCCACAGGACACAGTAAATGCACAAAAAAATGCCCATCTAGAAGAGCTAGCAAAACTCACATGGAGCCTTGAAGTATTTGAGATAGGGCCTCTCTCCTTCCCTTTTTATGCATGCAAGCCAAGACACACAGCCCTAAATGTGAGAACACAGTTGCCCTCCTTTCCAGGAACGCCAGTCAGCAAAGTGCTGGGGAGCCAGGTCTGGCTGCAGGCACTCCTCACAGGGGTGCAGGAAACCACCATCCCTCCAGGGCCGGTCCTTCAGCACCAACAAAATGTTTGCTTGGCCACTGAGATCAACATGTACAAGTTCAAGCCTTGAGAGAATCTGATTTTTCCAGAAAAAAACAATGCAGTTTCCTTTTTTTAGCATGCGGCATTGAAAGGCTTTGTCCCTCTGGCACCTGGGGGATGCGGTCATATGCTCGGTACTTACTGTTTAGCTAGTTCCATGGATATTTGCTCCAAAGAGCATCCTTTCGTCTCTGGTATAAACACAATAACAAAAGCCAGGGATGCTAGGCTCATTATTGTGTAAATGAAGCATACCCAGGACAAGCCAATGAGCTCTACAAAGGAAGAAAACATGTTTTTTTTAATTTTCAAATATTATAACTTTTTTCCGTTGCTGTATTTTTATAGGATACAGCCCCTAATGCACAGGAGAAGTTAGAAAGAAGCTGGGCTGTTATTCTTGGCTCACTTATTTGTGCCTGGCCACAATTTGAAAAAGAAGAGTGGTTTTGCTTTTTCTAATACTCCTTATGAAAGAAAATAGATGAGCCCGTATTGACCCATTTAGCATGAACCTATTGATTTATTTTGCTTGTGGTCACTCTGGATGAAAACAGCGAGTAGCTGTTGTTACTGGTTTGTGCAAAGGCACTGGGGGTCACAAGCGCCTCGAATTTCCACCCATGTCTGGTTTTGTTGCACATTCTTTCATGGAGCAAAACCAAGCATTTTTCACACTGTTGCAGTTGTCTCCAGCTAATCCTCCCTGCCTGTCAGTTCCCAGCATTTCCACTGCGTCATGGGCCCTGCGCCAGAAAGGGATCCAAGAGTGAACTCCTAATGGGGCCAGCCAAGAACTAGTGCTTTTCTGAGCCTACAGTCCAGGGGCAGGTAGGTCCTCAGGCTAAGGGATGCACTGTGCAGCCCCTGGAAAGTAAAGTATATACAAACCCAACAGGCTGCTGCAGCCCCCTTAGCCCTTTTCCCTGCTAAAACTAAGGCAGACAGTTGACACGTTTGTCAGTTGTGTTGTGAGCTAAAAATTGCAGCTGAAGCTGCTAATCCAGCTGCTGTCTTCTGCATTAGGTACCTAAGTGCAGGTGCCGCTGGCCACTGTGACCTCCACATGTATTCATTTGAAGACAGAATTTCCAATTCTGCCTTTCTGCCGTAGACTAGGAACGCATATTTGCTTGTAGTCACATTTTGATAAATCCAGATTAGACCCACCTAAGCCAATAGAGTTATTGTGGCTTTGCATTCATTGAAACTGAGACCAGAATAACGGCTAGGTGTGCATTAACAAGTAATGCTGCACAAAAGGAGGAGGTCTTCAGGTGAAACAGTTGATGCTGAGGACCAGAGGTCTGCGCTACCTGTTTTCAGTGACATTTCCTTAGGAATAGCTCTAGTCTGATCCAAGGACTGAGCAGGGGTTGGCAGCTGGAGTGCATTCACTGTGCATTGTCTGGTTTGGTTTTGTCCAAAAGCTTGTGCAGTTCAGGACTGCCCTGTGATGCAAACCAAAGTGCAGTGAGCGGAGGCAACTGGATGATTTGCTTCTGAAGAGGACCCTTGATCTCACTAAAGTGCTACTGTGGACACAATGAGTTTGGCCTGGTATATTTTTCCTAGTTTTAATCAAGATAGTACTCAGGGTTTTTTCTCTCTCTCTCTTTTTTTTTTTTTTTTAGAAAACACCAATGTGAAACCCATTTTAGTCACAGATCACACTTGTTTTCAAATCCGTCTCAAAATGCATCTAACAGGATGAAAACCACCTCAACTTTTTGTGGGTTGATTGCCTGCCTCCGGTGGAGAGTAATGTAGTGTTAAAGGAAACCTGGAATTTCTGTTCCCTTATGTATTTTGATTTTCAGCACATATTTTCCTCAGAATAAGACTGAAAACTAAAATTTGCAAAACTTCTTATGAAATAAAATTAGAAAAAAATATTTGCCAATCAATGAATTTCAACACCAGCATTTAACCTTTTCCCTTGTTTATCATCACATTATAAGTTACTATATGGTAGTCTACTTTCTCGCATTAAAACATGAAACATTTTTACCTTACAAAGACACCTTTTTCTAAAGGAAATTTTCTCGAAGCCAGGACATTCCTGTGAAAAGGAATGATTTCAATGGGATTGTCTTTAAAAATGTTTGACCAGAAAAGCTGTGGTCTGATCTAGAGCAGAACTTCCTTTGACTTCAGAAGATGCAGGACTAAATCCTAAATATTATGTATTTTCAACCTACTAAGGCAATGGTGTTTTTAAGAGCTGGGGTTCACAGCCTATGGAGTTGATGTGCAAGGTGCTCTGATAGCCAGCACCGTGAGGCTGTAATTTCTAGCACAAACTAGCACTAGAAAGATGTGGTGGAAATGGTGAAGTTACACTAACAAAAAGCACCTAAACAGAGATCTGAATTTGGCTCCTGGGGCATCACAGCTGCAATTTTAGCAATGTTGTTTGTATAGGAAAGATTCATTTTGCCCACTAGGAGAATATCAATTTGGAAGGACACAGAGAAATCTTACCAGTTACAGTCAAAAATGTCAAGGAGATGAGGAGATTTATACCCCAGTTCATGCTAGATGTCAAAGCCATGGCCCGTCCTCTGATCCCACCAGGGAAAATTTCGCTCAGGACCAGCCAGGACACTGAAATAGAAGTAAAAAAAAAAGATGTTGTCTTCGAAAGGATGGCTTTCCTTGCTGTAAATTTAGGTAGTCCATGAATTCAGGTGAGGCCACCTGAAATAAGAAGGTGATTTTCAGGGACGTTAGGTTTGTGTGGGCCCAAGCCCGGGCGGACCACCCATGGTCTGCAAGCAGCGTGCCCAGCAGTCAGCGTCACCCCAGGGCATCACCCCTGCCCGGCGCCCGGCGAGCGAGCAGCGGGTGGCACCGAGGGGCAGCGCCAGCGCACACACGGAACCGGGGAAGTGAGCTCTGACTGCACATCTGTGTATGAAAGGGAGCTCTGACTAAATAACTCTCAAGTGATGTAACGCTAATGGAACTGGGGCAGCAAACCAAAGCAATCTTCAGCCTCGGAGCGGCACTGTGTGTTTATGCCACCTTATAAATCAACCTGCCACACTGAAGCAGGTTTGCTATTCCAGCTCTCCGCTCCATATAAATGAGATTGCTGAGGTATAAATGAAGAGAGAGAGCTTGATTTTTGGCTCCTTCATATCACACCACACCACACCACAGGTGATCCAAATGCTGGTGTTGCTAGCCCACAAAACCAAATTCAGACATGAAGAGCTGGCTGTGTAACCACCTTGATAGCAAGAGGAAAAAAAAAAAAGAAAAAAAAGACATCACATTTCTGCACCATTCCTGGTTATTAGAAAACAAAAAAACCCAAAAAACCCCCTCCACCTTCCTTTTGTTCATAAGCAGGATGCATTATCAAGAGGTTGCTGCATGGAGAGCTTGTGGGTTAGCAAACGACCAGCACAAGATCAGAGAGGTACACGTGGATGAACTGTGTCTTCAGACCCTTGGACATGGCAATTATAAATTGCTCCTCTGTGATGTTGCTTCTGCAAAATGACAGATGGGAGTTTCCTCAGGACACTTGCACCGGGCAGTCTTGAAGTTACATTTAAAAAATAGGCTCCTGTACGTGCGAGTGTGTGTCACGCTGCAATATCCCTTCGGATGCTTGTAGAATTCCTGTGTGACAGTACTGGTAAAGGTAGAAAAGAAAAAAGTGCTGTGGAAGGAGACTAGAAAGGACCAACTGAAAGGGGAAAAAAAAAACCCTGAGCCTTGAGTCAACAGAGCAGATTCGAGCAAACTCTAGATTTCTTTGTACCACAGATTTGAATTCAATAATGTTTTCTGGAGCTGGCCCAGATTTTTTTTTTTTTTTTTTTTTTTTAAGGAAAAATATAAAGAGCTTCACTCCCACAGTGGGAGTGACCTGGCAGAGTGGTGATTTTATTCCGGAGAATCAAGACCACACTGCGTAATGGCCTAACACTGTTATGCATCGTGAAGTGGCATTCAGTCATAACACAGCCGCCGCGTCTAACAGCAGCCGTAGAGAGCCTTTTTTTCTTTTTTTTTCTGACTTGGATCACAGCAAAGATTAATACACTCGCTGCTGACAAGACAAACGTTGCTCTAAAGAAATGCCCTGGGCATGTTCTGTGGGGTGTCTACACATGAGCAGGGAGCAAAGGTTATGCATCGTGAAGTGGCATTCAGTCATAACACAGCCGCCGCGTCTAACAGCAGCCGTAGAGAGCCTTTTTTTCTTTTTTTTTCTGACTTGGATCACAGCAAAGATTAATACACTCGCTGCTGACAAGACAAACGTTGCTCTAAAGAAATGCCCTGGGCATGTTCTGTGGGGTGTCTACACATGAGCGGGGAGCAAAGGAGAGAACTGGCTTCTCAAGCAGGTGTTTTTCCCTGTCAGGCCAGCTAGCCCTGCGCCTGAGCAAAACCAGGCCCTGGCAATGCATGGGGATCTCATGATTGTATTTTGCCCCTCCTCAGCATCAGGGCTGTTGAAACCAGTATCGTTAGTCACAGCCAATACAACGTGTCACGACAGGGAGTGCTAGCTGAAATGCAAGGCAGCAAGTAAGCGAGACGCAAAGGAGCCCTTCTGAGCAGTGCGTGCACAGCCCATGGAGTTTGTCTCCATAGGATGGCCTGGCAGCCAGCAGCCAAGCTCGGCTCGAAAAATGGTTATATGCCAAGCCTGGCAAAGGAGATATTCATAGTCACATTAGACAGGATTGAAATAAAGTTTGAAAGAATTCAAACCCACTTTCTGCTGGGCATAAACCAACCTCCAGGAATAAACTTTTTCTGTGGGTACTTTGGTCTGTATTTGCTTCTTCTAGAATCTTTTTGCATTCAAGCAACTCGCAGTGGCTGCTCAGAGAGGCACCGAGCGAGGAGGATCAAGTCCCATGCACTGACACGGCAGCCCCGCCAGGCTGGGCGAGCCCTGAGCTAGTTGAGCTTCAGCAGCGTTACGGGCACTGGGGGACGGCTCATGCCACAGCTGAAATGTGTGGCCCTGCGGCAGCTCCAATACCATGCATTTTTCCAAGGACAGATTGGCCCTTTCAGGCTAACTACAATTTGTCTGGAGGTTTGAAACAGGTTGTTTTCCTGTTAAGAAACCAAAATACTTGAGGATCTGCATCAGCCGCGATAGTGGTTAGCTGCTCTTATTTCAACCAGTTATTTAGTTCAGACAGATCCCACCGACACACCAGATCTGTTCTTCATGTCTGCTAACTTCCTCTGGCATGGCCCTGACCTCTGCTTAGCTGGCGAGGAGTCGATAGGCTTATTCCCTGCGGAGAAAGAGCAGTTGTAGAAATCTGACACTTATTACAGTCTGTTTATCCCTTTCCCCAAGCTGAGGCAGCGATAACTATCGATTCTTTGCTTTTAGCACCTCTCGGTGATTGTTTTTACTATTTGTACCTTTGCCAAAAAGCAGCAGCTGCTGTAGGTACGGCAGGGATGTGGCTTTCTCTTGGGGAGCCAGTAACCAGGTTTGGGCTCCCATTCACAATGACTGCTCCTACCTTGTGCGCTGTGTGCAGGCAGCGCTGCAGAAATTTAACCTACAAGTCACTGCAAAATCAGCTGTGTGCTCTGCCTTCACCAGCCTAAGCAGTGGCATTTTACAGGGGAAATCAGCCTATCCTTGAAAAGAGGATCCAAATAACCCCACCACCACCTCTCCATCTGCTGCATAATCTAACATTATTTTAAAAGGATGCTGTGATAGTAACCACATTGCACACACTCAATAGTTTTCAGTGTCTGCTCTGGCCACCCTTGGTTGGTGTTCGTGGAACAGATGGGAAAAGAGCTGGTGCTCTCCAGGTCAGATGTGGGTGAGAGATGAGGTTAAGGGCTCAGCATGAGTCTCTGTGCTAGATTCAACAACTGTGGGATTTGTTTATGCAGTGGCTGCAGGTAATAACTCACCTTTGCTGACCTGCAGGGCGTTGTATGTTGACAGCAGTTAAGAAAAATTGTACAGTTGAACGGTCTTTTACTATGGTACATTCTAGAGAAAAGAACACCCACTGCAAATGCAGAAGAAAATATTGCATTGGATCAGAAAGCTTAACTGTTTCATTAAATATCACAGAAACTCGATCCTGACATTCCTTGCCCAAGTAGGAAGAGCAGAGGATTCAGGTATATAAACGACCCCTTGACCAAATGGTGACATTCACCTCTGAACAAAGTCACAGGGGCTGTAAATGCAGAAAACAGAATAATAATGGAAGATTTCAGCTGCTTCCATTAAGGCTGAATAAACTGCATAATGGAGCACAGTGCTGGGACTACATTTTAGATACCATAGATGACGGTTTCTTTTAGCACTTGCCTGATACTTAATGAGAGAAAAAAAAGCAAATCTTGCTTCAGTGCTGAGCAGGGGTAGTTCAAGATGTAACTGTCACAAAGATGCTCTGTTATATTGGTTATAACATCTCAAATTCAATATTCTTGTAGAAATGGAAGAGCCAAGAGCCTACCACATTTTGTTGCAAAAGGAGAACAATATTAGAATAAGCCTGCTTTCTATAAAGAAATTAAAAGGACAATCAGGGTAAATGCTTCAGTGTGTTATGGAGAATGTTTAAATTACCTGATTAGAGGTTTAAAATACACATACAACCAAATAAAAGAAAAAGAAATAGCTCAGCACAGATAAACAACTGAATGAAGAAAGCTGTTAGAAATAGAAATATGCTTTCCGTAAAGGTGTATACTGTGTCCAAACAAAGAAAACACAGTATAACTGCTGAAAAGTTACTTGCAATACCATCATCAGGCAGCCAAGTATTTTGAGAGTCTGCTGGCTGAGAGGATGAGAGGCCAGGGACGGAGGAGGTGACACATGCCAGCATTGAAGAAAATGTTCTGTGGGGATGCAGGAAGGGGTCACCCTGGTAGATTTCTGTACCGAGCTGCTGGCTGGAGCTAGGATAAAGCTAAGTAATCTCAACTGGAAGAAGGAAAGGAGGGTATGTACAGTGTCTTGAGGAAGAGTTGTCTAGTTTTTGCTAAGGAAAGCCATGTCTCTTTGAAAGAGTTAAGGAACATGGGGATCGAAAAGAATGAGCCACTGTGCTTTTCAGTTTCAAAGAGCTTTGGTGAAGTGTCATGGGATAGAAGAGAAGGTATTAATACAAATCAATAACTGTTTACAGTAGGAAACAAAGGACAAGTCCAGTTTGCACAGTGGAAGGAGATTACTAGATCTGCTCAGTATATTTCCAGATCTCTCAGGAAAGGGAGGTGAATGCATGTCCAAAATTATTGATGGTACAAATTATTTGGGGTAATAAAAATGAAGAAGGATTATAAAGAATTGTAAAAGGTTCTCAAAGTATTGAGTACTTTGAAAAAATGATCCATAAAATTCCTTATCAACACATGCAAAGTAACACGTAGGGAGAAAACCAGCCACCAGTACCCACACCAGCGTGCCAGCGCTGCTCAGGGCAGAAGTGCTGGAGCCTCTGTGGGCAGTTCAGGGACAGCATCAGCAGAGGTCGTGGATGTAAACAGAGGCTTGGCAATTATTAGGAAGGGAACGCTGAATGTGCCACTGAGCATGCCTGTTGTGCCTCTGTATTTGTCACGTTGCATGT